AGTACTACTATAAACCTGGAACTGAAAATAACTTGCAGCAATAACAAAGAGAAGTCCAAGAAAGATTTTTTTTTTTTTTTGGTTAAAATTCAAATTTCAGGTGTTGAGTTTGGATAAAATATTTTTAAAAAACTGAGGTATTCCCTATGTCAGTAACAACTGATGAAAATGTCTTTTAAATGTAGCAGCAGCAAAAGAAAAATGGCTAATAATTGGCACCAAAAACATGTAGCCCTAGTCAGTGGCATGGTGGTTAACTAAACACTAGGAAGGAAAAGAGAGAACCTACTATTAGATGTTGCTTATGCTTGTTGTAACCATCTCCTGTTTGAAGTTTCTAGGAGACATGCAGGAATGCTGTTCAAGAGAGCTTCTTTTTGAGTGTACTATGCAAGTTAAATGCTTAGATGCAGTGGTAGACAAAAAAAAGTCCTTTATTTTAGTTGAAGTTCTTCCTTGTATTGCTTCATCCACTGAAAAAAAACAAACAAAAACCAGAACCAAACCACCGCTTGTAAGTACCACCGTGTCTTAGTGTTGTCAGAGAACAGCTGATGGTGCAGAGCTGTATACCAGGGTACTCAGCATTGACTGCTCTCCATGGAGCCTTCTGGCTTCGCTGCTCCTTGGGTAGTAAGGCAAGAGATGGTCAGGATTGTCTTGGAATCACTCCCCAGTGCTTCAGCACAGTATTATATACACTGTTCATTTGGGTTTTGCTTGAATAGGTGAGCACAGCAATGCAGTACCACCACCTAAGCAGGCGTGAACTCATCCCAGGAGTAGTAAGTGTGAAACCTCCCATCTTAGGATCGTGAGCGATAGCGATGCTTCAGCTGGAGCTCGAGGGGAAGGACAGAGCGGTGGCTGTGCCTGGCCTGAGGGTGCCCGGGCTGTGCTCTGGGCAGTGTTCCGTGGGAAACAGGCCCAGTCACCCCAGACTTCTCCAGCAGGTGTCAGGCGGCAGCCTCCGTGTCCCGGAGGTTGTGACGCTCTAACAGACACGGCGATTTCAGCTCATTCACATTGTTCTCATTAGTGTCAGCTTTCTAATCCTGTATTGTGTCAGCTCTGAGGTTCCTGCAGAGCCCTCGCACGGGAGCTCCTGCAGCAGGGAAGGGCAGTTTGTGCATCAGGGCTCACCCAGGGCCGAGTTGGTTCTGAGCTCTCCTCCGGAGCAGCGAGGACTCGGCGGGCTGTGCGCCTCTGTCAGGGGTGCTGAGGGGAACGAAGGCTGTTGGGCAGACTGAAGAGGGGGAAAAGGAACAGTGCTTATCTGGGGACAAGAGAACCTTTTCTTGTGTGGGTTGCATATAACACTGAAACATCGGAATTTCATGCGTAGTAAGGGTCCATTTGAGATTTGTAACATTTATGGGCTCTGAAGTTTAAACATCGAGAAAGTGAACATGACTTTTCTAAACTGGTTGTGACTTTTGGGCACTTAGCAGGCAAACTGGGAAAGCTTTTTTAGCTGGCTGCTGTACAGATTTGTTTTAAGTAGAAGGGATTTGTTAGTGGGTTTTTTTTAATTGTAATGCTATTATTGGCTGCCCTCCTGTCTAAGATTTAAAAAGTGAGTGCATGCAATGGAAGTACAAGAGGCCCCAGTAATAGTTCTCCATGTTTGTTATGAAATAGACACAGGTTTCCTTTTTATGACTTTTTTTAAAACTGTCTTAGGTACAGTTGTATTGGTACTTTTTTTTTTAAGTTTAGGTCAATGTTGTCTTCCAGAATAAGTTTTAAGGCATCACTCACTCCTGCATTGAACTATTGCATCAACACAAAGAGTGGAGATTCCATTCTGAGCCAGTTCAATTGTGAAAATTCATACTTTTTTATTTTTTATGCAATTCAATGAGTAGATGAGCTCAGATTTAAATTCTTAAAAGCACGTTTATTGTAACAAGAATTGTTATGTATTAATACTTCAGTTTTCAATAAAGATTGACTTGTGTTGCTTATTGTGTTGTTTTTTGGTTTTTTTTTTCCTACTGTCTTTGCTGACATCCTTCCAGAAAAGATTCTGTTGCTGGAGAGCAGAATGGTATCTTTAAACTCTTTAAGCTGATGAAATCTGGTGATTAATCGAAGGAAAGCTGAACACTGAAATGGGTTAAGTGACTTTTCTCAGTAAGGCAGCAAAACACAGAGGTAAAGGCTCCCCAGTAGGGGATAAGCTGCCCTAAGTTGCCCTGTCTGAGAGTATGGTAATGATGTGCAGCCCTGCTTTGTTCCCTTTTGAGCCATTTACTGGGATTTGAGGGTTTTCTTACTTTATTTTACAGCTTAAAACAAAGGAAATGGAACAGATGTAAAATCTGACAGTACTTCAGCATTTGGTTGATACCAAACCCATGCCGTTTGATGGGAGAGGTGACAGGCCCTGAGCAGAAGGCTGTTATAAATCAGTTGCTTGAGTGTTCCCCAGAAGGAAAAGAATTGAGTAGGTGTGAAGTGTGGGTAATTATCCTATTTCTTTAGTGTGTGGGTGTTTGTAAAGCACTGATGTTAAAATGGAATTATGTGTATTTCGGGGGAACAGAACTATGCTGCTTGAACTAACTGACTGGCTATTTTGATTTATTGTAGGTCTCCAAAAATAACCGGGTGCCGTTGCTGTGAAAAGCAACATGTGGAAGAGAAAGGTGCAACGTGACTGCGTCGCCGTGCGGGGATGACGCGTGGCTGTTGAGATCCTGCCACGGGGGGTTTAGCCAGTCCAGTGGCTGAGCTCCTTCAGCTGCAGCCAAGCACAAGGGATCCCGTGGGCAGATGTGGTTTTTCTCCTCAGTGTGCTTTACCTCAGGCTAAGTTCTGGTCACTTGTCCTGGGCTTGCTTTCACATTTGAGGGAGACAGATTTGGGGGTGTTCTTTGCAGAGCACTGGAGCTGATAAAAATTCATAATCCTCAACCAGTGGGTTGCTGGAATCTGGGATGCTCTGAAGGGAAATACTGTTCTTCAGAATGGTGCTGATCACTTCTGGGCTGGAGGGATTCCAGTGTAGCTGTTCCTGTGGGGCTCTGTTGCTGTGAAACACGACTTTGAGTTGTGTTCAGCACTCATAAGAATGTGGTGCTGAACTCCTAAGTCTGTATGTGGGGGCTCTTTCATGGTGGTTTTAAATGTACCCATGGAACTGCCAAAACAGTGGGTCAGTAATGGTTTGATTTTTTTCCCCTCTTCCCACGTTCACGGTGCAGTGGCAGTGTAATGCATATTACTGTCCCACTCACTCACTGACAAGTGGAGTTAGTTACTTCCTGGGAGGGTTAGATGTATTGATAACAACTTTCCTCATTTTAAGGGTAGCTTTGAACACGTTAAAACAGCCAGAGCCTCTTCCAGAAAAGCATCAGTGATTGTCAGAAATAGGAAGATTTGAGTTTCAAGTTTTCCTGTTACTAAAAAAACTTTGGAAAACAAGTTTGCTGTTTCCAGCATCTTACTTTAGATTCTAAACTCCATGGCTCATTGTAAAAAAGCTCAGTAACAGAAATAGTTATGTTGCTGAGCTCCCCTGAAACCACAAATGATTATTATTTTGCTGGGAATTTTTCTGTGTAGGAAATGTCAATCATAGAAGGTGTTTGAATAGAAGGTGTTGCTGCATTAGATGGATTAAAGGTCTGACTCGTGTGTGGGAGGCTAAATGCTCTCCTGGATTTTATTTCAGTATCCATCAGGCTATGAGCTATCCTGTCTTAATCATCCAGAATAGAATGGAGGCCATGTGACTACTTTAAAGTAAACATAAAAAAAGTTTGGAGCAGCAAGAAGTCTTTGGTAGCTACAGGAAGTTGTGTTCTGTGTCCCAGAGGGAATGGCAGACCTAGAGGGAAGGCTGTTGAGCTTTGTGG